GTAATGAGGATTCCATAAAACTAAATTGTGCACCCTGATAGCCTGACCATTTATATTCCTTTATACACTATGAGAGATTATATTTTAAGTATTTTCACATACTTGACATCAGCAATAAAATGCTTTAATAGCAAACTTACCCATACCTAAGAATGATATCTTAACATGAATATTCTTATTTCGACTCAAGATGTTACTAACAATTAATCCAATGCCTGAACTTAAATGCAAATAAAAATTAACTCTTCAACGTTTTTTAAATCTTTTTATATTAAAAAACATCTTATCCATTAAACAATACTATATTTACTAAATCTACGATAAAAGAAGATTTAGATTTTAATTTGTAACTATATACCTTTAGTGAATGTACCTCAGCATTATATGTGCTTATATTTCTCAATTAATAGATTCGCTAGGGCGTGTCAGTTGTGTTGATGATTTTAATGAGCGCTATTCATTTATTTCTAACAAACTTCCTTAAACAAAATTATCGCTTATCATGAATTGCATTAATATTTTACTAAGTTTACCATCGTTAATTCACATTTAAGTTCTAAATTAATCTGATAATTTTAAAAAATCTTTTACCACTTAGTATTAGCAAACCTAATTCATATTCGATGTTGTTTAAACAAAACTTCGTGGATACATGACATGTAATTTCTCTTAGTTTCACTTTAATCAGCAAATATTTATTAAAAGAAGTTATGACCCAATTATTTTAAGGCTTGGTTTTCAACCCTTTAACAGTGTACGACACGCTATTATCTTAATGATTACATCCATGTCCATACTTAATTGGGAGACCTCAATAATAGACATTTCAAAACCCTTTGACTAAATGTTCTTAATGTGTCGTCATTCTGCTTGCTTACGATCGAGGCCCTGTAGTGATTTTTTGTTGCTCTGGCTTTCTTTAGATCGCATTATTTTGTTAGTGGTCAGTTAGTCTGTACCTTTTATGCATCATTTTTACACAGCATTTATGTGTTTTAATTTTATTGTCTAATGTGACCAATCCATGTTAGAAATTTCACTTTACGGGAGTTCATTTCTAATAACACTTTCTGTGTCATGGTTAGAACACATATTTGGAGCAATAGATGAGGTCTGACCCAGCCTACAATCCGTTTAAATCTCACCAGTGATTTAACTACCACTGAACGTTCGATGCGGTACTGCTCTGTTTCTTTACGTGTTTTCATGTCTGTTATGCTTACTGCTTTGAATGTTTACATTTTTGATTGATTGTCTATTTCGATTTGGTGCGTTGGATCTCGGTATGCGTGTTATTCTCCACATACCCACATCCTCCATTTCAACCCCCCCCCTCCTAACTTTATTCTCCCTGACTTGCCCTTATCCTCTTTAATGTGACTCGTTTTTTTTTATTTCACAACTCTACGTGTCCTCTCCTTGGCCACTATTTTCCACTACCGGTTTGATTGGTACCTTCTGTGTGCATCTGTTGTGTTGTTCGGGGAGCTGTGTTTCATGTGAACGTATGCTTACCTTGTCAATTTCTATTTCTTGTTTTTTTTAAAGATTTTCCTTAAATAATCAACTCAAAATATGCTAAGGATCACCTTTTTTACATTGCATTTATCAAGTCCTAATTAATCATTCATGTAAAATCATAAATTTCACTTAACGTAACCGTACTGGCGACTCATATTCCTGTACTTGTAGTCTCGATTAGTAGATGTAACACCTTGCACTCATAAGCCACGTGGAAACAATATACCATGGGAAAATTTGTATTATATGATTCATCTTTCACTTTACGTGTAAAGCACAAGTCTTCTCTCTTATTTGTAAACTGTATCGTAGTTTACACCTTATGCAAATCGACAATAAGACGTCGTTTCAGGATATGAGAGAATAGAGTATTTGGAAGATGGAGGCTGCCGTTCGCAAAGGCACTATGCCCATATCTCCTTGCGGGTATCCCAAGCACGTTGTCTCCATATGTGAAACGATTCAAAAATGAACTGGAAAGTATATGCAGTGTCATGGCGGCACTGTCCGGGAAACGTAAAGAGCTCTAATGAGTACGCTTAACGACTTTCAAAATGCAATGGTTGCGTTAAGCACAACAAACTTTGAAATCAGTTAGCATAATGAATAAAACGCCAATATATAAGAGCGTTTACAATGGCCGCAGACTCATTACATATGGACCCAGGTCCTTGTTCACTGATGAGTCAAGGTATTTTGGGACTTCACCGGACAGACGGCTAGGTGAAGTGGTCGCTTAGCTCAAGCATCAGATTTGTGAAGAACACGACCGTTTGAGCGTAGCTTACACGTACATTTGTGTCGAGAAATAGAGCTCAGCGGAAAACAACGACCTACTTACATTATTTGAAACGCTACATTGACGCAAGTAAGTACGTCAATAAAATTTTATGACGTCATGTACGCATATACGCTGCGCAGTCGGTTCCGTGATTCATTCTTATGGATTTGACAACCCTATGCACCACAGAGACCCACAGCCCATTGTTGCTTGTCGTCAGATATATCGTGCCTATAGAACTGCTATCTTAGAATGATCAATCAAGGCTGATGACGTAGACTTAAGTTATATAATAATTTTGATTATGAAGGCCATATTGGATTCACACAACTTGGATCCCAGGCTTATTTGAAGCGAATTACATATAAACCTATTATTATGCCAAATTTCATGCTTTTTACAGGAGGTACACAATTCGCCCTATTTGGCACGGATTTCTTACTCTATACTTGTAGACTCATATTATAGTAAATTATGTGTTTAAAATGAAAACGACAAAGTGGCATGGTTGGAAAAAGAAATTAATTGTGCCAATCTAAAAACCATAACGTTTTAATAAAATTGGACTAATTGTTCTGAGGAATAGACAGGACATGCAGACAGACTGACAAATATACAGACAGGCCACATTTAAGTGATCCCTGTATGTTGTGGCTACTTTGTAGCATGTATCAGCTTCTGTGTAGCTGGCAACATAAAAGGTAATAAACAGGCAAAAACACCTTTTTATTCAAAGACCATAACTCAGTCAAAATTCATTTACATTAAATAACCCTTTCATGTGCCAAGTACTAAACGATCATCAATCTGTAAGTTATCATATAATAGCCTAATGGCAAGAGAAGTAGCAATCTGACAAATATTAATTTAAATAATAAATCACATTTAAGTCATAACTCTGACAAAATATCATTCAACCGCGAAATTCGACGATATGCTCAACTAGGCACTCACTCTGTGATTGTTACATTCTCTGTCTTTCGTCATCAACTGTTCTTTACTTTAAAATATTAACTATTGATGTTCCGCTCATGCCTATGTTTGTGAGGGAGTTGCAATTTTTTCATTAACGCTTATGTACAGCTCAATCACCGAGTCTGCATTTTAATGTAAATTTAATGTGAATTTATGTTACGATGACACCTTTCTTCACAATTTTTATCTTCACAACAAACAGGTAAAGTGTATTCGTATGCAGCTGATAATAATGTTGCCCCCTTACTTCAGATCAGTTGTTTTTGTTTTGGTCTCTCGGGATCAGTGGATTCCATCAATTTTAAGAGTTGGAGGAATATATTAATGTCAAACCGTTTTTTGGTTGGGGGCGTAATGTATGATGTATTTTCATTATTCTTAATGTACAGACTCAATCAAATCGTGTATGCACATTTTCAATATAATTATGTTTTCATTTTATGCCTTCTTCTTCCCGATTTTAATTACATTCCTGTTAAGTTTGGAGAAATGCACATGTAGTTCGAGAGTAATATAGCGGCTATCTCGAATAATTGATCTTTTTTTCGTAGCCAATGATAACTACTTTTAATGCAAGCTGGTAATCACAGTTTTACTGAATGAACCTCATCAAGTTACCTTGACAATAACAACTAATATACAGATGTCCCAAATGACAGACAAACAGACGACGGCAGAAGTGATCCTATATGTCGGCAAAACTTATCATATGCTACACAAAACTTACTATTTATATCGACGTTTTCTTGATTTCTCGATCGACTGCCCCTGTAAGAAGGGAGTTTATAAACAGTCTCGACCAATTTCAAAAATTTGAAATAAATACAAAAGCAGCTCTATAACTTTTTTAAAATGTAACGAAAAATTTGTGATTACATTTATTGCTATAATTTCCTAGAATTAGGGAATTATTTACATACTATGGAAGTGTGAATTAATGTGTAAATCATATTGTTACTATATTCCGATTGTATCATGAAATATGTCGCTCAATGATAACAGTAAAATCGATGACATATTACCTTCAGTAACCATTTTCTCTTAAATTATTGGGTTTATGTTAAAAACCACCCCCAAGAAAAGAAAAAAAAAGGTTTTAATTTCCTGCAAGATAGTACTTAATTTCCAAGGGTTTTCCGACAAAACACCTTATTTGTCCCTCTCTGACAAATTGTTTTTCTTAATGTAGTAGACAACTGATAGTTTGTGTTGATATGTTATATATACGATAAAAATACTTATAAAAAAATCACTTTGTCATTGTTTCTGATTATTTACAGCGTATGAAACTTATATTGTAATGTTTCATTCGTTTTACAATTGGATTAGTAAAACAACAAGAACTTAACACTGACACATTTAAAATAAACAAATTACAATTCAATTCGTCACAATTATCATCAGAATATAAGTGATATATATACGAGCATATATAGCGTTTTAAAATACAAAATGTTTTATAACTCATTGAAAAGAAGTTTGTCGACTTTATATTTTTTTTTTTTCGTATCCGCCTTCTCTGATATTACCCAGTCCGGATTCATCAGAAGTTAAAATTAGGCTCAAACGCCACGATAAAAGTTCAAGACATGCAACCTTAGATGTATAATAACAGCAAACCTTCCCTTTAAAATTTACAATTATTCTGCATTAAAATATATACCTTCTCGGCAACAAGAAACAACTATCACTGATCGTAGCTGCCAACAGTTATTTTCAGCAGTCACGCCGATTGTAATCGTTCTGAACATTCCCATATTGAAAGATTTGTTTGAATCCCTGCCGATGATATCTGCAAATCAGTGTTACTCAGTAATGGTGTCCAACTCTCGTCCCGTTTTTTGTACCATGTATAGTCGGAGGGTTCAGGTTCGGGATAGGCCAAAGCAGTAAACATCAGTGTGACAGGGTTATACAGTTCGCTTGAAAAATTCGTCTTTATTTCTCGAAGAGGTCTTGGAGAACCTTAATATATGATATAATAAATATCAGGTATGTAAGAGACGACATAAAATGAAGTATCTTTTCTATCAAATAAAGATTGCATACCGTACATTTTACCAAACAGGTCATGGAGCAAGTAACCATACAATTACCATTCATTCTACTATTTCTTTCATATTAAAATATTCTATTCATGATCTTTTTGTGTTTTCAACTTTTAATTATTTTGTCTTCATTGTAATCCGGTATTTATGCCTCTGACCCCAGAATACACGGGTACATCATTGCTTTTTTTGTTTCTGCGGGTGCAGATCGGTGAATAACAAACAAGCATGTATCACTCAAGCAAGTCTCAATTTTTGCAACGGATATGACGTAATATAATTGATAAATCCCTTCTCTCTCTGACCTTATATTTAAATAACAATGGACTGAACTACAAACCTTAACATGTGATTTTTGTGTTGAAATTCTTATTCTTATAATAAGAATTAGACAGGTCAGGGATCAATGCATTTTAGCGATTCTTTTGATTTTGTTTTGTTTCATTTCATTTATTATACCTATATACTGAAAATGATAAACGTGAGTTCTCTATTCAAACAAAAGTTTCCCTTTCTGGTGTATCAATTATATTAATAATTACAATTCGATCTCTGTTTAATTGATTAATAATTGTCACCCATGATAGAGATTGAGGTGACTGTTTTCAGAAAATCGAAAGCTGTTAACACATTTAACATTTACACCAAGTAAGAGTTATAGAATTTGTGTATAAACAATCTTCGATACATAATGTTTATGTTTGCTTTATATCAAGAAAATGAAATGCTCAAGAAATACTAACTCCACTTTCATCTGCTTCCTTGTTAAAAAGTTATATCTTTTTATTCTCGGCATAGCTGAATTGAAATTGTTTTAAGCAAATACAAAATCTTAATCGGAATACGGATGTGCCCATACGTTCTTACAAAGAGCAACATATATTTGTTTTAAATACAACATTTATTTTTATAGGTTAAACGTTTCATAAACTTATTTATATCACTTTAATTTAAAAATCAAAACAGATTTGTTGTAAGATTTAGATTATAAAACTTCCTAGTAAGAGGGTCAGAGGTTAAATTCTAAGTCTATAGGTATTTACCATGTATTGATCACATGCTTATTTTCTTTTTAAGCTCTTTCTTCTTATGTTATGTTTTATAATGAATATGATACTTACATCGAACAAATAAGTTGATTTCAGACATAATTTCTGCTCCGTTGCGACTTTTCCCGTGACAAGTGTAAATACCAGCATGTAAGCAATGTGCACTTTTGCGGGTAAAAACTAGCTCTCTTCCATGTATTTTATCCACAAGCACAGTATCTTGAAATTTGATTTGCAATTTTGTCTCGAAATAAATATTTATCAAACATTTAAACTGTATATCAGATTCGTATTCGTCAACAGTCAAATTTGTCTGTTCTTCATTTCCATTTACAGTAAAGGTTAAATCTGGAATAAAATGCTAAAATAGAATACGAGCGTCAATGGCGTAAATAAATCTTCAACTAACACGCAATATTAATAAAACTTAATAGAGAAGTTAACGATTATTATACAAAGCGATTTATGCCGTTATATTTCCAATTTTGCATGAGATAAGATAACAGCTATTAAAACAGCATTCATTTCTATCAATTTTAATAGTCTAAAATAATCCTGTCTTCTGTTTAAAAACGATGACAGCTTTGCAGTGTTTAACCAGTTGAATAGGTTCAACAGAAGTGTTATAGCATATTTCGTTTTGCATGAATGTTTTAATCTTTATGAGGTGTAAACGTATTGAATTGAATTGTGTCATATTTACTTTATTAGAGTAAAACAATATTAGGAATGAGTATATTTGTTTCAGAAGTAATTCATAGTAAATATTTTCTTCATTTGCAAATAATTAATACTTATTTTAAAGCAATGTATTATTAGAATAAATTAAAGCAATGCATTACATACACTCAGCTATGATATCAAAATACTCTGTCGACGCGCTTGAGCTGTTAGCTGTGTTTTCACAGATACAAATATAGCTTCCGTTGTGGTATCGAGTCACTGGTCCGATATCTAAATGCATGTTTTGACTAATGATACTTCCACTTGAACTGTTTTTCCATTTACACAAACACAGCGGGTAACAATCTGATTTACATGTTATTGTTGGTAATGTTTCGCCTTCTTTCAAAACATATGGAGAGGATGTGTTGAAATCACATCTATATGGACCATCTAAAATAAAGGATTTAAATAGAAGAAATGTGTTCGTCACCTAAGTGAAGAAATGGACACCTTCTAAAATAAGAGTAGACCATAAATGCCCTATACAAAATATATACATTCACTTAACATTTTTGAGAATTTTACCAAGAAAGAAAAAGGATATTTTACCAACTGACTTAAGTCACCGATCTTTTGAAAGTATTTTTGTCCGGTGTTCATTACCTTAATAATTTATAATCTCCGCAGCTTTTTGTAAACGAACTTCCATTTATTCTAAATACTCTGTTAATGAGTTAATATATTCACCAAATATTCATAAACTGTGAATAAACAACAAGCAACGAAACCTTAGAAGATCAATTGAACGCATATAGATAATAAACAGCTGTTTACAAATAATTTGCTAGAATTCAAGATCGTACTTACATCTAACATGTACAATAACACTTGTAGATACATTATGTTTTGTCGTTGGGTTGAAAGCTGTACATGTGTAAGTAGCCGCTTTATCCTTGTTCAAAGTACCAAGTGATAATACGTTACTCTCAATGAACGGGGAGCCAGACTTTGTCCATTTGTAAGTACATTTAGGATAGCAAGCAGTTGAACATGTGATGTCATTAAGTGATGTCCCCTCATTTTCTGGGTATGATGATTGGGATGGATTTAATTTCAAAGAATCAGCATCCGGACCATCTGTTTATTTTTAATAATAAAATATTATTCGCAATTAAACCATTTATACTGATATGCGGAGAACGGAATATGCACAGTCTACTTGGTCCGATTAAAGGAATATTAAACACTGCTCCATATGTAAATAAAACACATTATAAAATGGAATGTTTAATGTATTTTCGTACATGACAAAGGGAAATAAGGACGTGTAGTTGTACATGTCATGTTTTTCATTTATATTGTTATTACAAACACATCGTTCTGTCATAAGATGACAGACAATTTGAGAGAGAGGGGTGGGGCTGTAGTAGAACGTTACTTTTAGACTATTTTATGATTATATTATGTTATCTTTCTATCTAGTCATGGACCTTAATTGAGATTGAAAAAAACTTACATGTGACAAAAACAGCAACTTGTTTGATTACAAAAACTGTTGTTAGCGTGCTGGTAACTGTACATGTATATGTTCCAGCTTCATTTCTGTGCAGTTTTCCGAGTGATAACACACTAGTGTTCATAGAATTTCGATTTGGCATCGTCCATTTGTAGTGACATTTGGGATAACACTCTGATGCACAATTAATGTCATGCAGAGTTGTGTTTTCGATAACAGAATATGTTATTTTGGCTGGTGTAAGAATGGTTGAACTTGCGTCTGGACCATCTTAAAAGAAAAACAATTTTGTTGCATACGTATGTCTTCAAACCTGAATAAAGCCAATCAAAACTTTCAAAACTGTATTTAATTTAAAGAAGATAAAACGGACTAAGAAAAACTACAATGCTTCCAAAGTTCATGTCACAAAAGGTCGACAGTAAAAGAATTACCATTTTATACTCCAAAAATTATTTTTAATGTTCAATAACTAATGATAATAAATAAGCTTACATCTAACAAATACAGATATATTTCTCGTTTGTGTTTGGTCGTTTGTTGGGTTGCTAACAGTGCATATGTATGTGCCCGCTTCATTGCGATCCAATGAGCCAAGTGATAATGTGGCATCATCTACAGCAAAAGTTAAGCTCCCCGCTTTTGTCCAGTTAAACAAGCAAACAGGAAAACAATCACCCGAAATGCTTATGTCATTTATAACATCTTCCTCATTTAGTATATATCTTGATGTTGGCGGCAATAATATGACAGAACTTGCGTCGGGGCCGTCTATGCAAAGAAATACGCTAATATTTATTTTGAACCACATGACAATCGTCAAAGTTCCACAATATTCTGAGCTAAATATGAGCATCGCAGGGCATTTACATATAAAATAGACTGTACGGTCAAAATGCTTTTTTGTGCACTACTGAAAACTATACTACATGGGTGGTTGAAAACATGAACTTCAAAATATATCTACAGTTATTGGTAAGAATGTTTATCGACCGATATTATCGATATAAACCAAGCCATTGTGATAAATTTACTCAATATATAATCATATTGAAAGAACATATGCCACCGAATAAGTTAGAATTATCATAGTGTAGCCTTTATTACTACACGTACTATAATTCTTTACTAAGCTTTATATTATCAAGTAAACTGCCTTGAAAAGTATAATATCTTGTAACTTACAATTGACACGCACTTCAACTTTTTGTGTTACTTTTGTTACGGTCTTGTTGGCATTTGTTACCTCACACATGTAGAAATCAGCCTCTGTCCGAGATAATGTAGCCAGGGATAATAAGGAATTATTGCTAACTGTTTGGCCTGACTTTGTCCATTTGTAATTACACCTTGGAAAACATTCACCACTACATGTTATATCATTCAAAGTTACACCTTCATTTAGGGTGTATTGTCTTATGGAGGGTAAAAGTCTTGTTGTGTTTACATCTGGACCATCTAAAATATTTTAAAAGTACTATTATAATAACTGATCATATATTTGTACTGTTATTAATTTCATCAGCTGTGTTAAAACATAACATAAGTTGTTAACCGGATAAAATCATTTAAATATGATAGGTGTTGGAAGAGAATTGCTCTTTATAAAATGTGACGTTTTCTTTTTGTAATTTCCTCAAAGTAATCCCCTTTACTAGAACCACACTTTTAGTTGATTGGTCATTCAAGGATGCGTACACCGGCACGGGACGCTGATTTGTGTATACTTGTAAGGAAGAGAGAAAGGTATTTACATGTGCCTGTCTTGTACATTATCTGCGTCTTTCCATTTCATTTAAACAAATAAAATGTCACTAGGGGCAAGGTCGTGTGAACAAGGAGGGTGACTGTTACTTTTTCTTCTGTAAAAAAGTATTTTTAAATTCAAAGTCGTACATATAGAAAACGTGGTAAGGGGCGCTTAGTTTAATCGGGGTTTAAGTTTGATATCTTCAAATCAACATCTTACTAGTACTTTCCAGATATACTTTAGCCTTTTTCATTTGCAATTGAATTGCAACACCTATACTATAGAAAATATTGCATATAGTTTTTTTACTCAAAGAGCGTATAGCAATTACAAATATTTTGCTAACTTTGGTGGCCAATATTTAATTATCATGTTTTTTGTTTTTTTTTCGTTCTGGTTAGAAATAACGAACCAAAGGTTTTATTGCCATTAATCAAATTGCAAATAACTGCTTATCATATTTTGGAAACACATTTTTCACCAAAATTTAATTATTTGCTGCTTTTGATCGTCATTCAACAAGCTAGATACCCACCTGGCAGATTTTTTTTTCCAATTCAAGATATTTTTAAGAATAAAAAATCACTCAATAGTGAAATACCAATAATTCGTGCAATACCGCGAACTGTAAATTCGGCATTTTTTTTCCAACAATTTCCTGAACTTCGCACCAGATGCACAATAGTTTAACCCAGAATCAAATTTCTTTTTTCATCTTTGACCTAGGTCATAGTTGCGTAAATATCGGATATTTGAATAAATATATTAACAAAGAACAACCAAACCTAGAACGAGCTTTAACATAGAAATTATTTTCACAACAATTACTATTTTTCTACACGCTTCTTTAATCATTACAACCATCTTAATGTAACATGTTGTTTTTTTTCACTTACATATGACAGTAAACGTTAGCAGATCACTATTGTCAGAAGTTAGCCCAACAAATCTGGGTCCTGATTCCGTAGCACTACATGTGAATGTTGTGTTGGCATCTTCTTTCCTTAGCGATGTAATTGTTAGTTTTTTTCTTGTTGGTGAATAAACATATCTCGACTTAGATGGATTAGTAGCACCATTTACATTCCAGTTATATGTTAAACTCATGGTGTGGTTTGTAGGATAACTTGTCGATAAACTGCTGCAAATAAGGCTACTATTGGTTCCTTGAACGATAAAACTATCACGAGTGAGTGTCGGCTTTTTTGGTTTATCTGCAAGACAAAAATGTTTTATAATCTAATTGAGTGCATTCGTCCGTTCCGTCCGTGTATGTGTGTGACTGCGTGCGTGCGTGCGTGTGTTTGTTGGTGTTGGTGCGTGCGTGCGTGTGTGTGTGTGTATTTCGCACAAAAAACTATTTGAACACATAACTTAATTTTGTGTTTCAGCAACATTTGAAAATTGGGATCAATTTTGAAGCTGCAATTCACAGCAATCAGACAAACAAATATCGGAAATTAGGGATTTTTAATATTTGCAACATTAATTTTGTTATATTTTTATCATATAGATCAAATTAATTGAGGTTTCCTAAGCACAAGCATATGGTTTATGCAAAGACATCAAAAATGAACATTATTATTGCAAATGGAATTTGTTTGTAAGATTTGGTTGACCAGTTTTGGTAAATGAACATTACAGGATAGATTTATAGAATGTCAAAGTTAAGGGTGATAACTTTGGCGATTCTTATTATTAATATTATTTTTATTATTATTAATATTATTATTATTATATAATTATTATTATTATTATTATTTAACAGTTAACAACAGCCTTTGTGCACAAAATTAAATCTAAGTTAAATTTTTTCAGTGAAATTTCCGAACGTTTGGGACAAAAAATGCTCATCTTTGAGTAAAATATTTTAATCGAAGAAATTTATTTAAACCTATGACATTCTTGCTGAATTTGTCTAATTTAAATAAAAAATGAATAATTAACTATATTGGAAGTCACATTCTCGAAACTATACATTCATATTGTGACGAGCTATGTGTGTAGAATTTTAAACATGACATGTTTACTTTGTGCGAAATCAAAACATGTTTATTTCATATTTAGCAATTATCAATATTTTCTGATATCAAATTTGAGTATAGTATATCTTTAAAAAAGGAGATAAACACGTTGAAAATTGTTTAAAAAATAAAAGAAATGATGCAAACTTTTTATATTATACTCAAAATGAAATTTACCTATAATGAATAGCACAGAGCAATGTTCAGTATTGATGTTTTCTGATCCCTCTTTATAACCAAGCATGTAAACTCCGCCATCATGTAAGTGTACACCAACTGTCTTCACTGTGAAGTTTCCAGCACTGGCATTCCCAACAAATTTTGATTGTAAATAGGACTTTTCATTTCGAAGAATGTTGTTGTAGAATGTTGCGATATAAAGCTTACTTCCATTAAAGGCATATACATTATAAACCAGAAGTTGTTCAAATGTTCTCACAGTTGTTAGAAAACTAATAACCGCAGACTGTCCAGATTCGGCAAATACACTTTGAAAAGGTGCTTCATTCGGACACTGCCATGCAGAAACTAAAAAAGGTTCGAAACTTTTTCTATAAGCATAATATAATTTTATATATATCTATTTAATGTCTATCAATTAAAGAAACCTCTTTATTTTTAAAAGAACAGAACAGATAATTTATTCAGATTTACATTATCTTGTATATACATATAAATAAATAAATATATGTCAAATTTGATTACATATACATCAAAACAATTTATCATGTATAAGGAGATAGAACATGTATCAGAGATATCTTTCTACGGTTAGTACTGAATTTCTTAAAGCAAGAGCGTTTTTGATGAACAGTGATGTTGTATTGTATTGTGTTGTATTGTGAATTGTATGAGCTCAGTTTTATCACAAACAAAAATTCAAAAGTTTGATAAATTATGAACAGAATGTCTTTTGATGTAAATGTCCTTTATGTGCTTTTTTCTTAATTCTGAATAAAAGCTGCATATACATATAAAATGATATAATCTTCTATATCTAAATTATTACAACATAAACAATATCATTCATTACGGGGAATAGTGTTTCTATTAAATCTTCTTGTTTCAATTCTAAGGGTGCGACCACTCATTTGTAATTTACAGAAATAGAATCTAAATCCTTTTAAAAAATATCTAAATAATTCTCATAGTCAGATGTACATTTGGCATTCTTATAAAAATATAACAGGGAACTATTTTCTAAGTTAGCAAACCATTCTTGTTTAATAACATCCAAAATTCGATTTTTAAATTCTTCAAAAAGATATTCTTATATATGCATTTTACTTTATCAAAAACATATGAAAATCCATAAGTGTTCAAAATTGTTTACACATTTGAAGATATTCTTATATATGCATTTTACTTTATCAAAAACATATGAAAATCCATAAGTGTTCAAAATTGTTTACACATTTGTGACCCAGTTTACGCAGCCAAAACGATTTAACACTAAAACGTGCGGAAAACATAGTATTACGTTAAAAGGATGAAACAAAAACGCAACATGCAAACAAAAACTATTTAAGTTTTTAGTCATCATTGCAGTGTATCTATTAAGTATTTTGGTGAAGTAATGCTATCTGAATATTTACCATTAAAACAACTGCAATAGATAATTTATGTACATTTGCAAATCATACAATTTAATGCACACATAAAGTTCATCATCATTTTAGATACTCTCCTATCCCGTTAACACTTACTTGATACAATATTAAACGAATGAAATTTACCGAGTTTCAGGTACCAATATATGTCATTTATAAAATTCTCAATATATCCACATTTAGCACCAAAAGCTCGTGAAGTTAAAATAATTCATTTTTACTTTCCAGTGTATTACCTTTACATATTCGATGATTATATTCCGATAAACCACTAGTAAAATTTATAAAATATAATTTTCACTGTAGCCAGACTATATCTAAATGCGGTTGAAAATAATATCATAATTAAATAAAATAACAGGCAAAAATAAATGCCGTCATACGTAAACTTTGCTTCTTTAGGCAAAGAAAGTCGATTTCACCTGATATCATGTTAAAAATGTAACACAATTAGAAAAATTGAACAGGACTATATTTCAAAATTGATGATGTGACGTCATGATCTGGTCTGATGACGTCATAAAGTAGAATGCGCGACGTTACGCGGCAAAATCAGGAAAAAAATACTTAGAATATTTATTTGTTTTATATATGAAATTGAAATATATTTCATTCGTGAACACCAGCTATTCTATTTTCACTCGTGGCTACGCCGCTCGTTAAAATGTTGCATCTGGTGTTCACTAAGTAAAATATATTTTCAATCTTACATGCTTCATTTAATATTTAACCAACAAATTCCAGAAACAGTTAGACATTTTTCTTTCTTCTGACTGCACATGGCACAAACATATTGAATTCATAACTAATAAAGCTTGGAAAAGGGTTAATATAATGCGTAAATTGAAATTCTCTCTGGATCGTTAACCTTTAAAAATGATCTTTATAGCATTCATTAGACCTATTTCGGAATACGGTGATGTAATTTGTGTAATTGTACCCAATATGAACTCGAACAGATTGATAAGATTCAAAATGAATGTGCACACATTGCAGCTGGTGCAACCAACCTTATCTCACTAGGAACTCGGAAAGAAATTAATTGGGAATCGTTTTCAGAAAGAAGATGTAAACACAAACTAATAATGTTTTACAATATGTAGTCGAACATTACTCCAGATTATCTCTCATCATTAATACCAAATCCAGACCAATCCCGCTACAGCTTACGAAACTCTGAAGATATCAAAGAAATTGCATCAAGGATTACTCTGTACCACAATTCTTTATTGTCATCAGTTATTCGTAATTGGATCAACTTGCCCGTTATAATACGAAAAAGCCCTGCACTATCCTCATTAAAAACTTTCTTAAACAAGGACAGGAAAAAACACAAAAATACTTTGATGCAGGTAGTCGTAAACTGCAGGTCCTTCACAAATGGCTTCGAACGAACTGCAGCGCATTAAATCACCATCTTTTTTTGAAAAACATTTTGCAAGACTTCAGCATAAACCTTCATAAGCTTCTCTTACATACCAGGACAACGTTATTATATTTAAATATGTACAAAATTATATAGTAAAAAACGAAAATATGATAAACAAGATCAACAAGGAAAGGCGGCGTTCAATAGACTTATTTAGATTCATTCTTATTCAGACTATAATCCTCTCTTAGCCTCTTTCTTCTCTTTTCCACAATTATATTTTCTTCTTTTATATATATTATTTCATTTTAGACATCTATACTTGTAGTAAACCTATATATATATATATATATATATATATATATATATATATATATATATATATATATATATATATATATATATATATATATATATATATATATATATATATATATATATATATATATTTATTTATTTATTTATTTTTATGCTTTTCAGTGGATTACTGATTTATCCGTGAAAATTATATTTGATAATTTCACAGTGAAAATTATCAAAATATAATTTCACTTTTTTCAATGACGAAAATACTTTTTTAAGATTTTCACCATGTGGTACCTCAATTTTATTTTTACCGACAATTCTGACAATGTCAGGCTGTTAAAAGAAATAACAAAGCTGAAATATATAAATAACTTAAATGTCAAAAGTAATAAAGAGAAAAAACTTACTTCTATTCATTCACATTCCAATCACCAATTTTCGTCTCTAAATTTTTTAGTTTCGTTTTTACAGTTTGAAAAATACATTCCTTCCCCATGCAAACTGCTCTTGATGACATTTGGGCATATTAAAGTATCCTACGAGCAATAACTGCCGTATGCTTTATGAAAAATTGAAAAGCATTGACAGCCATCACTCGTAGAATAAGTAAAACAACCCAGCGTTCCTTAGCAAGCTTCCAAGTTTTCCATTTTCCTAGCTCCTTTTCTGAATGTTTTCACTTCTGTCAACACTTATTTTTTGTCTGTTACAATCCTCAAATAAGTTTTCTTTCTTTTAAAAAGGTGTATGACTAACAAATAAAAATTATATCCCTCTGAATCTTACACAATTATTTTCCTCCCATGAAATACACAACTTTAAAAAATGGCTGCCGCTTACATTTTACAAAGCCAGGTCTAATATAAATTCGCAGTAAGTAACACAAATATGGATGGATGGATGGACTTTTTCTCCTACAAGAAGGGTTTGTTTTAATTATTAAAACAAGCGATCATTTATATTTTTTTTTTTAAAAATGAATAAATATCACCGTCATTTAACCTTGATTGGCGGACTTATTTTCAGCTCAAGACTTCTTGTTTTAAATGAGAAATTCCGTCTAAATGGGGCTCTCAATGGGGGAAACAGATTTTAATATTAACGTTAAAATGATGGAACTTTCGTTTTAACTTGTTTTTAAGCATAAAATAAAAAGAAAATTTGTCTGTTTGTTGTGTAAGATGTAATTTTATTTCATCTCGTGAACTTTAAAAACAGTATTCTCACGAGTGGCGTAGAAATACTGTTTTTAAAGCCCACTCGATGAAATAAAATTTCATCTTACACACAAACAAACAAATATCCTCTCTCTCTCTATATATATATATATAGGTTTGTGAAAATGTTTGCATCTACAAAATACCTTTCAAAAACACTGGATCCCAAAAAGGATACAAGAACGTGGAAAAAAATAACAATAAATTTGGAGAAAATAAACGTTCATACAGTGCTAAAGTATAAATACCCAAGTACTTTCGGCGTATTATGCCTTCATCAGGGGTTTATTACATGTATAATGTGCACACAATAGAGCACAAGATCTCAATACGTGTGTACTGTATAGTATCAAAAATTGAACTAATACACAGTTGCTTGATAAAATTACATCGATTATGAATAGACCGTTATTGAATGGTCATTATTTGTACTTTACAAAAGAAAATATAGCCTGCGGTCAATATGGCATAAATTCGGATAAATATATCTATAGAACTATGTATAAAAAAGAAAAAAATATATATATTAAATAAATAAAACTTCACATATAAGGGCGTTTTGTGTTTTAATTACTAAAAGTATAATGTAAGAAAATGCAAGTTACAAACAGTGTGATATTATATGAAGTGGAAATTTACGATAAGGTGAAAGTAATAGAGATGCTCTCAGGCAAGGGAAAAAGAGCCCTCCCCGGCACCGCCTGATAACTAAAGTTAGGTTTAAAACAGTTTGTCAAGAATGGGCGAGAATAAGTGTTAAAATTAGTCTCCTTTATTGATTCCTGATGGCTCTAGCGTATTCAGTCGGCGAATCCAGTATGTCTCGCGTGATTTCCGTGTTACATCTGACCACTTTGTGTTATGTTCAATACAACAGAGGGACACGTCTTTAAAACTGTGTCCCTCTAGGTGAAAATGTTCAGCAACTGGGGATCTGTTAAATTTACGTGTTTTCCAGTCAGAGCGGTGTAAGTTCATTCGTTTATTTAATGGAAGTTTTGTTTCACCGACATATTGTTTGTTACATACTTTGCAAGAAATAAGATAAATAACGTTTGGCGTTTTACAAATCATTATGTCTTAGTTACGTATTGTTTTCTTATATATAAAAGATTAAACTACTTGATTAAACTAAAGATTGCATATTCGCCTAGAATCTAGGTATAGGACCACTAAATGTAGTAAAACTCAAAGTGAAAGAGAACAACCGTCAGTCACGGAATCCTTCAAAATAACCGATTGCAAATATTTGTGATACATTTTAAAATAAACGAACTTTTTTCAATCATTTAATCTGTTTTATAAATTAAATGTTAATTATTTTCATGAATTACATGTCGAATACATTTTGCCTGTTTTGCAAAAAATATTCCCGCTGTGTCCGTATCGCCAATAAAATCTCCGTTGCGTATTTTAATGATACTATACCTCTTATTCCCTGCCCGAATTTGGTTCCCGTCATTAGACTAGAACGATCGACTATAGACTGGCTCATTGGCACGTTATTTATCAGGTAGATAAAATGAGATAATTATTAAAAGAATATGATATTCAAACATGGCACTATCCCTTCTGTTAAACGTTTATTTTAATTCCTTAAAGCCCTGTGACATGTTGTACATCAGAAAAGCTATTTTTATTAGACAATTTGAAAACAATGTGATTTTGTTAAAACAAAAAGAATGACAAAATCAAGTCTAAAATTGTCCCCATTGCTATATGAACAAATACATATCTACTAGCGTATAATGATAGCCTATGTGAGAACATTCTATTATTCGTGAAATAAATACCTTTGTTTTTTTATTAAATAACCTTATAATTGGTTCTTGTGTGGTAGAACGGAAAAACAAATCATTCTCATGATAACAATTCTAGTTGTTTGAACAAATGTTGTGATAATAATGTAATTTGTTTGATATTATGTGACATTACGAAAAATATAAAAAGATATGACAATTAACAATAACATTATATTTATCATTACTTCATTCAAGCAGATGCCCAGTAAACTGATTAGAGTAAATCGCATTTGTTAATGAACTCTGCTGAAAAATGAGAAGAGTTTATAATAATTTTATAACAATATACTTGCTAAATAGCTTATTTCATACGAAAAAAATATTTCTTACTACAATATGTTTGCACATTTAAATTTAAATTTTTGATGATTTATGTATGTTTATTGATTTTAGTGATGAGTTCTAAACTAAAGATAGTGGAGGATGTAGTAAGCAAGTCTAGAAGATAGATTAAGCCACGCCTCAAATATCGTTATTGCTTCTTTTTATATGTTTACTTGATGTTTGGGAGTTTGTAGCAACACATATAATAAAATATATAAACCATCCTTCGGGTCTTGTTTAGTTTGTGTGCTAGTAAGCCATCCAAATAGGAAATGTAAATGTTACAAGTCCTCAAAGTATTTTCCTAACACTGTTACGTACCTTATATCAAAACTCTTTTTCCAAACAAAAAACTTCAAATTAAAAATGTTTATTCAAAAGAATAGCAACACATGCAAGAGTCATAAAAGAAAATGTTCTTATTAACGAATAAAACTTTCAGGGGCTAACTATTGATATTTAGCTGAATTACTTTTTTACTTAGCCAGGTGATGGTAATTCCGGGTATTCACTGAAATAGCGTAAAAGGCGACTTTAAACCTCCAAAATACCTGCGTTAAAGCAAATACCGTTTGTTTGATGAGTTTTTGATAAATTTAAAATATGCAATTTGTTTAGAATTGATGACGTGACATTTATGCATAATATATATAATGTATGTGCAATACATATAAATAATTAATAATTATATACAGAAGTTTGGCGGAGTATTTTAGGGGTTGCGAAATGTGAATTTAAATAATTTGCACTGAGTAATTTATTTGAGCTAATACGGAAAAACAACGAATCAACAATGTGCTGTACTGAATTGAAACATTTTATTGTTCAAATATACTTGAGTAGATTGCATACTTGTAACTTTTTCTGAAAATTATTCCAACTTAAATTATAATTAATGGAAATATTAAAATTTTGTGATAACACTTGAACGTTTTATCTAGAATACATTCTTGCCCACTCACAACAGTTACTATGGCACGATACGCTACTGAGCTTATCCGATTTAATTGCTAAAGTGAACAAAGGTTCGTGTGATTAAGAAACAAATTTGACGAACAAAACAGTATTTTGTAAATGAGCTACTCAAATTGCTAAAATACCATTGTCTAGTCTTGATGTCAACCTGCTCAAATATATGATTGTATAATACTGTTGTCGTACGACGGCATTGCGAACGGCTTCACGTTGTAGAAAGACATTTCTTAGGAAGCGGTTGAGTTATCTACATGACTCATAAAAATGACATATTATAGCAATGACCTGAACAATTTCTGGCGAAACTAAATCATCTTTTATCAAAAAGTATGTAACTATATATGTAACTGTATTGTGTTGCATACTAGAATCTGGGTAAAGTGATTCTATGACAATTCCGTTTGATCTTTAATTGTACGTAAATGCATTTATTTCACAAGTTGCAATGCCAAATAATTAATGTTTTCATGATCCAATTTTATTTTAGGAATTTGATAAATCGAACATAAATGTCCATGCTTTACTACGCTCAAATCGTACTTCTCAAGGTCGAACAGCATTAAATAAATTCACAATGATGTCTCACAAAATAATGTCCATTCTTAAGGAGATTTCTAGTTTGACACTGCTCATTTTTTTAAGTTGTTTTACGAGGGTTGATTGATAAATTCGCGGAATTGTATTATTTCTTAAACATAATAACAAAATAACACCACGAGATACCTTTACTTTCGACTGACAAAAAGCCAAATGAATCATTAAGATATATTGAACAGTAAAGTTTACATACAAAATCAAAACACTTCACTATCCTACACTTGAAGCACGCCGATGCGACGCTGACGTCACCTAAACGTCAAAGTCTAATGTCCGGTTCACTTTTTCAACGTAATTACCCCCGGTGGCGACACATTTTTATGCCCCGCCATTTAATGGCAGGGGCATATAGCGTTACCCTGTTCCGTCATTCCGTCCTTCCGTCATTTCGTCCTTCGTCATTCTGTCATTCTGTCATCGTCAGTTTCCGTTTATTATCTTAGTAACGGTTGCACACATTCAACTCAAATTTTGCATATAGATATATCATGAGAAAATACAGGTCAAGTTCGAATTTGGTCATGGTTCGATGATTTAAGGCAGAGTTATGCCCCTTTTACTTTGAAAATAATATGAAATTTTCAGTTTCCATTCATTATCTTTCCAACGGTTATACACTTTCAACTCAAACTTGACATATGGATATTTCCTGAGAAAATACAGGTCAAGTTCGAATTTGGTCATGGTTCGATGTTTTTGGCAGTTTTAAGCCCCTTTTACTTTGAAAATAATATGAAATTTTTAGTTTCCGTTCATTAACTTCCCAACGGTATTACACATTCAACTCAAATTTGACATATGGATACGTCAAAGGAATACACAGGTCAAGTTCGAACTTGGTCATAGTTCGATGATTTTTGGAAGAGTTATGCCCCTTTTACTTTGAAAATTATATGAAATTTTCAGTTACCATTCATTATCTCCCCAAAAGTTGTACATATTCAACTCAAATGAAAGATATGAATATGTCATTAGAATACATTGGTCAATTTCGAATTTGGTCATGGTTTGATGATTTTGGTTATCCCTCTTGAACTTTGAAAAAAAATCAGAAATTTTAAGATTTCGTTCATTATCTCACATTCAACTCAAATTTGACATATAGATACATCTTAGGAATAAGCAGTTCAAGTTTGAATTTGGTCGTGGTTCAATGATTTTGGACAAAGTTATCTTTTTGAACGTTGGAAAAATTTTGAATTTTCAGTTTCAGCACTCATACTTTGTGGAAATGTATGAAGCCATTATTTTGGCTACAAATATGCAATATGCTTTTTACAAAAGGTTAACACTGAATAGTTTCAGTGCCTTGAAATTTGTTTTAAAATGGTTTGTGTAATCATTGAATAGTTTTAAGTTTTTTGGAACTAAATATTATAACAGCTGAAATTTTGGCTGCATGCGGGGGCATCCGTGGTGTGATGACACATTTCTAGTTTAATGCCTGTGTATCCATTGGTCAAAAGTCACTTTAAACCAGTCTAATCTAAACGACGAAACTATCTCGCGCGTAGTAGTAATCTGGTGCGTAGTAGTAATGTTGTTTGAAATTGTTGGCCCCTCAGTTCCTTCTTTAAATCGGGTAACAGACGGTAGTCTAATAGAGTCAAGTCCGGGCTGTACGGTGGGTATGGCAGTAGACTTAACCCGAGCAGGTTAACCTCCAGTTCTGTGTCGTGAGCCCGGTGTGTGTGGGCATTATCATGGTGTAGAATAGCATCGTCCAGGTCTAGCTGAGGTTGCTTCCGGCGCAGGGGTTGTACCAAGTCCCGACGTAACACCTGAAAGTTGATAACGCACAACGACTGCATTACGGCAATATTTTAAAATGCATTTTCTAAAATCAAATAAACAATATCTATTACATACTAGAACCGGCTAGCTCTACACATATTTATAGAAAGTTTTTAAATAACAAAATAGTAACAGTTATATTTTTTTATTTTACCTTTGAATAATATTCCGCATTTACGACACCTTGTGTTGTAGCAGGAGCCCACGCATATCAATGAAGTATATATACATTTCCGTCTTTGCACTTCGCTGAACTCGATCCTTTTTGGGTTGAGGTCTGTCAGGCGGCTTCCTAATAGAAGACTGGTGTTTGGAGTCGGGATCGTGATAGTACAGCCATGTCTCGTCCGTGGACACGATCCTGTCTAAAAAATCTTCACCATGTGCCTCGTTACGCTTGAGAAGTTCTCGAAAACACTGCACGCGCAGTATGCGGGGTACCCAGCGAGAGACAGCTTTCGTCTGTAAGAATGCGTTGCACGGCATAATAAGAGAGAGATAATTGTTCAGCTATGCACGGCACCGTAACGCGCCTGTCAACGTCCATCAATTCTTTCCCTAACGTAATTCGCCGTTCGGTTGACATCGCGGTTCTTATTTTGATTTAAAAATAAAGTATAATAATAAGTTGATAAAACAAAAACAACAAAATCTCGCCCTTAGCACAAAGATAAGAACCAAAGTGTGTAGAAAAAATGTCATCTTACCGCATGAAACACTTAATAATAATCCAAAATTTAAACACATCAAAGAACGTATAAATTCTTTTACGTCATACATCTTTGGACTGTACTAAGGTGTGTATTTAAAAAAAGAATAGGAAGTTTTGTACATTATGATGTTTATCTTAAATTGTTTGTGTCATGTTTTTGTACTTGAAATATAAAAGAAAGTACCTAGTTTCACATCATTTTGCGTCCGCATTGTCAAAACATTTTCTTTACACAAAAGGGAAAATTACGAATATTTAGAAAGGTACGGAAGTTTTTCAGCGCCTCTGTAGAAAGGTACGGAAGCTTATCGGGGCCTCCACTTATCTAAAAGTTTCACGTTATGTCAACTTGTTTCTTCTCGTTTTGACCAAAAACATCCCATGAATCCGTAATGATTAATACGTAATACGTAGAAGTTTTTAATCTTGGCGGAAAAACTTTTTGTTGAATTACGTGAACTATTTGTCAATGCGAGTAACGTATTTGCGTCTAACTAATTATTTTACGGAAGCTTCAAAGGGTCACCTCTTACGCGATCTTTTGTGAGAAGATTTACGCGAGTGGAAAAAATTAAGGCGCAAAGGTATGATATTGTCAGTGTTTTCGCAAAAAAATAATTCGAATAAACGAGAAAAATTTAGCTAATTGGCCAAACGTTTTGTAGCAAAAAAACAGAAACATTGTACATGACAAGTAATTCTTTAGACTACGGAAGCTTCAAAGGGTCACCTCTTACGCGATCTTTTGTGAGAAGATTTACGCAAGTGGAAAAATTTAAGGCGCAAAGGCATGATATTGTCAGTGTTTTCGCAAAAATGATTCGAATAAACGAGAAAATTCTAGCTAATTGGCCAAATGTTTTGTTGCATAAAACAGAAACATTGCACATGACGAGTAATATTTTGACGAGAAAATAATAAAAGGTCTTTTTCGAAAAACATGTAGACGCAATACGTGATACATTTCACTTTCTCGAAAAACATTATGACGCAATACCTAATACATTACACATTGTCGCAAAAACTTTTGATGCATTTCCCTAAAACATTTCATTTGATGAAAATATTTTTTGCGCAATTCCTAAAGTGTAGTCTGGTTTTCGTTTTATTCTTGTCGAGAAATGCTATATATTAATATACACAACAGCGGTAATCTTGCACGACCGTAGGGAGTGCTATATTATCCGCGTGTGAATAAGTGCATATATTATCATACACGATAAATAACCCTTTTATTAAATACTTATTTCAAAATTGTATACTGAGTTAAAAATAAAACCTTCATTGTTGAAATATTTTTTAAAATGGCTTTTAATGATGTAAATGTCTGGTTTGATTCAATATCCAGCCAACATGACATTAAAGTTATTATGATGATGGCGTGAACGTCAACGCGCACATTTGATA